GCGGGAGGCCTGCTTCTCCCTCTCCCACTCCCCCTGCTTGTGTTCCCTCTCTCGCTGTCTCTCTCTCTGTCAAATAAATAAAAATTAAAAAAAAAAAAAGATGAACCTTGGGGCGCCTGGGTGGCTCAGTTGGTTAAGCGTCTGCCTTCAGCTCAGGTCATGATCCCAGAGTCCTGGAATTGAGCCCCGAGTGGGGCTCCCTGTTCAGTGGGGAGTCTGCTTCTCTCTCCCTCTGCCCCTCCCCACCTGCTCATGGACTCTCTCTCTTTCTCTCTCAAATAAATGAATTTTAAAAAACAAAAACAAAAGATGACCCTCAAGAGACTTGTCAGGATTCACCTGGTCCTCAGGCTCTGGAATTCTCTGAAATAGCAAAAGCACTTACTGTGGTAAATAATCAGTGATCACCCTTCCCTTCTACTCTAAGCTAGGAATGATACATCTGATTCTGAGAACTGGGGACAATAAGAAATTCTGGGCAAAGACTGTCATAAGAATTTCCTGGACTAAGTTTTGTTGAGAAACCCTTGAAGGTAAAGAACAGGGCTTGGACTGCCACGAGACCTAGATTCAAATCCTAGCCCTCTCATTTGCTAGCTGAGAGGCCACGAGCAAAACACTGCGCCTCTGCGAGTCTTGGGTTTCCTCATTTGTAGCACAGGAAAAAGAACAGTACCTACTTTAAGGGCTGTGGGGAGGATTTAATGAGATCATGCCTGGCATGTAATACCTCATATTAATGAGTTCTCAGTGGCCAAAGAACTCCATGGTGGAGGCAGAGTGACTTGCCCCTCTTTTTCTTTTGAAAGCAGCTCAACAAGACCAGAGCGAGAGCAAGAGGCCGAGGGAGGTGATAAGAGACAGGGAAAAATGGTTTCTTTAAGTTGAATTTCCTTTTCCCCACCATACAGGACTATGGTATGCTTGCACAAGTCTGTTCTGAGAACCTGAGTCTGTTTTAAAGTCACCTTAGAACTGATTCACTGCCAAATCACGCATCCTGCAAAGGGGCAGGGGCCCTGGCTAATGGAATCAAAGGGGTGGTGGGCACCGAGGCCCCGGCGGCCAGAGCAGCGTGCTGGGGGTGTGCCTCTGACCTGGAAGAAGCAAGCCTCAGACAGGCACAATTAGTGTGTCTTCTTAACTTTCCTTCTGAAGTTATTCGAGGGGACTGTGGTTTTGCCTTGAGCAAAACCCCCTTAACAGCCGGGAATCTAAAAACAAACATTATTTTATTAGGTTACCCCAGCAGATGAAAGCAGAGTGTTCCATTTGGACTCTTTTTTGGAGTCAATTAATGCATTAGCTAAAAACAAACCCTTATGAAAGAGAGTTCCCGTTGTCCTCAGCAGCTTCTAAAGGAAAACTTGCCCCTGTGCTCCTACGGACACATAAACATCAGGCAGTGAGAGAGAAAGAGAGAATGAGTTGTAAATAATATTCATTGATAAGAAAAACTATTTTAATGACCTATCTCAACTCCAATGCAGTACTAATCTCAAAAGATACAATTTTTTAAAGCTTTATTTTTAACAATGATCAGGAACTTTAAATATTGTTTATATGACAGTTCCTGAGTCAATTTAAGTCATTAACACCAATTTTAAACAGCTGTAGCTTTAATAAAAGACGTATTTATGACTTCTAAAGTATGTGATCGATACGGAAGACTGTGATTGTTTTCAGTTATGGTTTTAACTCCAACAATGGAAAAGGCTTGTAAATGGATTTTTGAGAAATCCATTCACCCATCCTTCAAAATGGTTAATAACCAAGAGCCTACTAAGTTCCAGGCACCGTGGAACTCTGAACAAAAGCCTCAGTCCCTATCCTCATTAGAGCCCAGGCCAGGCTTTCAAAGTAAAGACTGCTAGGGTTTTAAGACAGAGGTGCAATGCTTTCAGCTGCCTCTGGCCTTGGAAAAGAGGCGGTGGACCCCCTGTGGTCTTCCTAACATTGAAAATAGAACTCCTCCTTGGTGAGGGCTGGGTTATTCCCAAAAGGTAAAACAAAAGGCACACCCCCTCTGTGGGCAGTACCATCTGTGGAAAGAACATTTCACTGCTCTTACCAGTGAATGGGTCTTTAAAAAAAATCTTTGGAAAAATCCACATCCTGAAAGCATTTGATTACCCTGAATTTAAAATGGGCTCTTGCTCAGTGGCAAAGATACAAACTCATCCCCCAAAGAACAGCTTCTGCGGTGAAAAGGCACACGATGACTTTGAGAGAGGGTTATCAACAAGGCTGATAAACGGGGCCACAAGACAGAACTCATCAAATGCCATTGCTGGAGACTTCCCTCCGTCTACCTGAAGAATTCCAACGTGACATGCTGAAGACCTAGCGGGACGGGGTTACAAACAGTTTCAAGCACAATTTCTTCCCGCTTTTATTCCCTGCTCAGTGTTATGTGCTGTTAAACATTTCCAGAAGACTGTCAAAATGTAAGCATCCTGAGGTTTACATAGGCCACACCATTAAATAACATGTAAGCACAAAATTTTAAACATTGTTTTCCAGCAATGGTAAATATTTTAGCTAAGTAAAAACTGAAGCTTGAAATGCAATAAGCACTTAAATGACTTTCTGTGCCAGAATTCTTATTTTCCCCTGTGCAACCCTGGCTGCTGGGATTAAGGCGACCCCAGGGAGCTCAGCAAATGGTTGTGGGTTATGAGGTGTAGCATGAGCTTGGCGACAGCATGCCACCCAGCCTCAAGAAACCCAGCCACGACTGGAACCCAAGAATCAGTGTGTTCACTTTGTGGTCAGCTTCACATTTTTTCCCCTCCTTGGAGAAAGCAAGCTGCTACAAAAATCAGGCCTCTGCCCCCACGCCCTAAGCAACAGGAGGTGGACCAAGGGCAGGGCTGGAAGACTCCTCAGCTGATGGGCAGCACAGCAGGCGGAGGCTGCCCCGCCCCCCACCGTGGGCAGGCAGCGTGGGCGTTCCCCAGCTTCCGGTTCCTCAGCAGTACGGGGGGGGGGGGGGGGGGGGGGGGGGGAAGTGACCGGCTGCAAGAACAGCAGCCACGGCCCTGCCGATGACGTCCTGCGCTGTCACTTCAGGAAGAAGGAAAACCCAGAACAAATTTGACGTGGTTTTCACCACACAGTGATTGCAGTCCTATTCCAGGATGTCACAGTCACACCACCCACTGAGCAGAACTCAGATGGAAATTAGGCCTCCTTCAAAGTGTCTCAAGTCACAGCCTATCCTGAACAGAAGCAGCCAAGGATTTTAAAGAAACACGGCCCCGGGGCTCCATCTCCTTTGGCTTCCCGGTTCCTCTGGTTTCTCCTTTACTGAAGAGAATCACCCTCAGTGGCAGGCAAATATAGCAATGGCTCTTGAAGAAGCAGGCAGGGCAATGCACCTTTTCTGAGATTTGGGTCACTGTTGCTAGCATGAAAATCTGATCTCCCACAAAATTCCAGCAAGTGAAGAAAAAGGAATGCAGAAATTTATACTGAGGGACTTCTGTCCACGTTCAAAATACCAGAGCTTGAGTGATTTGTTATTGCCACACTACCCAAATTTCTAAGACATTATTTGGAGTTTTGTGACTGGTCTTTGGGATTAAAATGTAAATATTTATCATGTATCACACTGAGCGGCGACTGGGGCTAAGGATGGGTAGATAGAGGAGCGGTTTTTGCTTTGGTTTTGTGAAACCATGAAGGGAGCCACATCCATCTTTGTGCTGTTTCTGGTGAAACTAACAAAGCTTTTGTTCACTTAAGAAAAAAAAAAAAATCAGACTCATGATGGTGTTGATGCTCCCCGATTTTCTTTTGTTTTGAAGCCCCTCAGTTTTGAACAGTAATTTCGAATGTCAACCCGTTGACTCTAAAAGTCGGACCGAGACTGCAAAGTGGCTGTCTCTCCTGGAGGGACATTGTGGAGATTCAGAAAGTTCAGACTGACCGCTCACAGGTTCTCAGTAGCCTCGCCAGAGTCTAAGAAGTCCAAAAGCCCTAAATTCTGGTTCAAGACTAGCTTCGTTCCCCAAATGATAGTGTTGGCCAAATACCACCAAATGTTAGATACAGTGACATCTGGTTTTCGTATGAGGAAGAATCAGAGAAGATTAGAAAACACAACTGCCATTTCATACCAGTTTTCATGCCCACCTTCCAGTGAAACTTCACACTATAAAATGAAAATCTGTATAAACTCACGGTAAGAAACTGCCCAAAGCACTGGGGATGACTACAGGAAAACTGTCCATGCGCTGGGCTCCTTGCTTATCTAGGGTTAAATGTCATTGCTTTTACTCACTCTGAATGTCGACACACTGAAAATCAGGGTACACATGACCTTGAAGGACCAGGAGGATAAAACCATGCCAACAGGGATAAAAGCACCCTGAAAATGAAACATACAGAGTCCAATAATGACAATTATTGTAGTCATTCACCACCTGACATACATGAGAGCAAACAATTCAATAGCTTTAAAAATAGTTTATTTCCTCCTTCACAAACACTTGAGCCTTCTGACCATTATGCAAGGCACCACAAATTAAATAAAAACATGTATCAGAATATATTTGTCTCACATGATTCAAAATGAATGGGACTTTAAAAGCGATAGGTGCCGACGACGGGAGGGCCGGGAGGGCACAGAGGCAGGCGCCAGTGCTGGGGGCATGTGGTCCCACAGCGTCTGCTGTAACAGGCAGTGACCAGCACGTGTCATCAGATGAGCCGTGATCCAAAATTAGCACATCCCGGAGAGGTGCTGCAGCTCCCAGGTTCTCTGTCTACGGGATATAATACCTAAAGTACTTCCCGAAAATACAAGGACTTCTCTCTAAGAGTCTTGGTACCACTAACAGTATGATTATGAAACATCCTCAATGTGGTTTTCATTACCAAAAAAAAAAAAAAAAGGTTTCATATAAAAGCTTCAGAATATAATCCAGAAAAAGAATTAGTACATGTTTAAAATCTGAAGCCAGGCTGGCTATTTCTGATCATTTTTTTCATTTCTTCCAGTGTTTTTTATAGTGATAAATATGCACCCAGCTTCCTACCAGTTGAAACATGCATGAAACACTTTGCTCTGAGCACCATGATTGCCTTTCAGTAATCTCTTTGGGACTATAATCCTAATCCAAGGAGAGTAGCTCTAACTTCAATTCAGACTCGTTCCTTTCCCCAAACATGTTAGTGTTGACCAAATCCCAGTAAATGTCAGATACACACACAGGTTCGTGAGCAGAGGCCCAAAGAATAATTATGAATAATTTCACAATGATCCGGTTAAGAAAACACACAGAAAATGAATGATTTCACCTTATAAAAAGCCTCCACTTGAATTTAAACAAGAGATGGAAGTGAAAGGAGGAACACTGTTTCCATGGGAGACAAGGCACTCTCCACCCCCAGCGGGCTCCTCCTACGGGCCTGCGCTGATCACCGCTGAAGTAGAAGCCGGCGGCTTGAAGAGAGGTAGGTAAAGTCCAAATTTGTTTTCAATCCCTGCAAATGTCGCAACTGCCAGTCTGTAGCCTCCAACGTGATCAGGATTGGGAGCAGGCAGTATGATCCTGGATTTAGGAACTGGCTCTGATCCCATGGGTTTCCTAAAAGAAGAGAAAATTGGGCGAGAATCTGTTTTATCATTTTTTACCTTGGTAGAAATAACATTCAGAGTTTGTGGAAATTCGCATCACATAAAGGAGTTGTGGAATTCTAGTTGGTTGTATGTTCCCCTTGGGAATGAGTCTGGTTACATGATTTCTGTATTTTCCTGCATTTTGTCTGTTTCATCAGCGGAATTAGAGTGACGTACCCTTCCTAAGAGCGACTGAGTACAGGAGGAGCGGCAACCTGGCTGCGGACTTAGCGGGATACTTACACGCCTCCAAAGTCAACGTAGAACCATCGCTGTAGCAATTCATACGTCAGCAAAGTTACACCAAACTGGGGGGAGGACCGAAACACACGAGCTTTGAAGAAATGGGGAAACAACAGCTATAATTAGGTTTTTAAAAAATTTACCCGATCCGAAAGGTTTAGTTAAGAACAAATTATTTCCAGTCAAACAGAGAAAGACATGTATCATATGATCTCA